GTACATAGCGACGTCTTTTTCTCAGATAATAGATACGCTTCGCAGATGACGAAAAAAAAAAACATTAAATTTATTCTCCTATAAGAAACAATAAGAACCTGACAAGACACTGGTCTGCCAAGGAGCCAGGTCGCCTGACAAACTGGTGAGTTATACGGGCTAATGCGCCTTCCTTATTATCTATCTACACAGATTCACCCTTAGTTAAAAACAAGCATCATGTTAAAAGCTCCTGTGTTATGCGTGCATCGCGCATAGGGATAGCGTGCCATTAACAGGATTCAAATACGCGGGTTTAGCACATATTATGGGTAATGCTATGATCCGGCGTTATAATTGCAATGTGTTATGTGATGCTCCTACATGATAACGTGAAATAGATTGCGCCATAGTTTTCAAAGCAAAGTAAACAAGCTCAAAAACAATACGTTACATCGCATGAAGCGTGCTATTGTCCTTTACATATACATTATTTAACGCTAACAACAAACTCTGTTGAACAGCTGAAACTTCTGCTAGCGTTTGGCTCATTCAAGTCATAAATCGATAACAGCACTGGCAAGCAAAAGCAAGCTTGCTCCTATGCAGCTAGGCCCTGGCGCTGCTAGGAAGACACTGCAAGCAGTTTTAAACAGGTTTGTTGTAGATGATAATCATATAAAAACGGTACGTTTTCTACTATCAGAGCAAAAGTTAATCACGCCTGTAAAAGCGTCAATTTGATGACGTGAAATTTCCTGTTGGCCATAAGATTGAAAGCGATTAGCAGAAATGAAGCAGGAGCACAACTTTCCTTTAAACCGCATAACTGGTCATAGTTATAAAGGTCTGGCCAAGCTTTAACCAGTATTCGATGCTGTTCTTTAGCCAAAACTTTACCATACTCTGATAGGTATCTAAATGATACCTGAATCAAGCGCTAATCCAATCGACATCCCAAAGTCACATGTATGCAATAAAAGAAAAATATGTAGTACAGATACATGTAGCTATGGGTAAAAAAATTCGGTCTTTTTAAGCGAAACGGAGTCAGCAGAACATGCTGAATGCCAATAGAGCCCGCATAAAATACACCTAATTTGATTGATTTTGAAAAAAATCGCAAATTTGGTTATCGCACTCGTTTCACAAGTCGTAAATGTTTATATATATATATATATATACATAATTTTTTTTATCACACTCTCGTATTTTCCATGCAGTATTTATAGAGCCTATAGTCGGCCGGCCACAGACTTACAATCCAACAAATTCTCTAAGAGCATCTCTCTACCGCAAAGTCACTAACTGACATAGGTGGAAAACCTTTATCCCGCCTAATATAGGCCAACTTAACTAATCCGGCCAATAAGTAATCTCAACAGCCATCACTCATGGCCAAAACAGTGTAGATATTAACATCCTAGATTCTGAATAATAATAACGTCTTATCATGGACCTGACATGTAGTCCTTGAATAAGTAATTCTCATCAAGTCAGTTATAGTTTTCCCCTTAGCAGGAGTTTTATCGGATCGTATGTTTACAGTCGATAAACTATTAGGGAAATGAAAATGGCTCCTTTTATTCCATTAATTTTTTTAAGGCCAACCCACAGATCTAATGTTTATCTCCTCCATCCCGAAGAACGTTAGCGAAATTATATTTCTAAGATAACATTAATAAAGTTCTTGACGGCAAGACATTAGCTAAGTTAAGAGTTCTATGTACATTTCCATATTTGCAAATTAAAGTACATATAACTTGTGCAATAATGCGAACGGGTATAGGAAACCAGAACGTTTCTTCGTACTGTTTCAAAAGGCCTTAAGTAGTATTTTCTATGAATCTTTTCATCAAAGTATGATCTACTCTTTGATGTTTCCGGAGGTTTCGGCTATTTTTCCAAGATGTCTTATGAACAAACTTCACTGGGTTCAACCAAAGCTTGTAATTAATTATAGAAGCCTATATATATGTTGACCAGCTATTACTAACGTCGATGTTGATAACGCCTCAGATTGGGTTTGTACTTGTGGTGCATACTTGAATATTTATTTTAGTAGAAATTCACTGGTTGTTAGGACACAAGCCCAACAGTAAGCTCGTATCGATTATGTATATATA